TCACTTCCAATTGCACTTTCATACCAAAATTTGCCATGAATGTGTCAAGATCTTTTCTGCTTGCAATGTGTTTGTTTTTCTGAGTTGAAGTTCCTCCATTGTCATATGTATGATGTGTATGTGCTTTGAATCAACATGAAACCCCCTACTTCCACTTGACCAGTTTATACCAAATTGTGTTGCCGGGCAGTTTTGAAACCACAACAGCTGCACACACTTTACCTTTTATTGTTTGAATTGTTTTACATCATCTCATATAGCATTGGACCTCTGGTAGTGTTTCAAGATTTGTGTGTGTATGAATCAATCAACTTTGTATGTCTTGCTTTTCTGTCATGACAGCCCCACTCATTATGTTTGATATAATTGCAACTTGATATCCATTTTCTTGTTATGTGCATTCCATGATCAACTTGAGTTTCAGACTCATTCATAATCCTGTTTGAGACTTGTGTGTGATTTATTTTTGACTTCAATCTGCTTCAATTATGATATGTGTCAATTTGTGCATTTTATGCCTAAGTGAGCAGTTGATAGGTGACTTTCAATTCTATGTTGTTTGAGGCTAATTTTGAAGTGTAGACACACTTTATATGATGTTTTGGGGATGTATGCAAGGTCTGCTCAATTCAATTATGACTGCTTCTTGACTTGGTTTCAAAATTGCAATTTTTTCTTCAAATCTCACTTGTTATGGCATAACAGTCATGTTTTTGTGTTTAAGTTTGGTATGGTGATTGTTATATGCTTGCTTCTCATTGCCTTTCAAGTATGTTGGTGGAGGTCTCATTGATCTTTTTTTCTTGTTCTGGTTGATCAACTTTGGTATGCATCCATGTTGGCCTGTTGCTTTAGCTTTCCACTTGCTGTCATCTCTGCACCTTGCTTATTCCTTCTGCCAAAGTATTATTTTTGGTTTGTAAACTTTGAGAACATCATCATTAATATGATTAGAACAGTTAGGCCATATGTGCATGATCACATCCTCCATCTGTTATGACAGCCTGCTTGATTTTTCATGTTATCTTTGCAATTCATATACCATTTCCTATTCTATTGAGTGGTGTTTAAGCCCTAAGTGTTTGTTACCTCTGTTATGATGTATATGACTTATGTGCAATGCCCTTTGATGTATATGAACTCAGATTTAATGTGTTGTTTTCAAAATGCAACTCAAATGTCAATCTTGCATCTTGCATCGTGTTTCAATTTGTGAGCCTCATTCCAAAATTTCATTGACACCATCATAATCCTTGTTAAAAAACAGTCAGGTTTGACTAAAGTTTCATAAAAAATGATTGAGTTTTGATCATGTTTGAATCCTTCACGTTTTTGGTTTGATTGGTTTGTGTTTGGCCCAGAAAATCATGAAAACTTAGCCTTATTTATTTATGGTGGTGGCTTTGTACTTGGATGTACAACCACCCTAGTGGTAATCAACTTGCGTGCATATTTACCTTTCACTTGCCAGTCCTGGGTTCGATCCTTGGTGATCAACCCTTTTGGCATTTTATTTTCATTCACGCCCAATTAGTTGTTGTTGTGTGTTTGTAAACACAAGGGCGTGGGTTCAACTCCCAGCTTTGCCCTTTCTCTTCTTCTTTTATTTTATTTGTGTGTTTTTATTATCATAAATCATTAAAACATCATAAATTCATAACTTGTTCATCGTTCACTATTTTCAATCCATTCTTTTTGCAAAATGTTCATGATAATGTCTAGTTTTATTTAACAAAAGAAAATTTCAAATTGCTCATAGTCACATTGCTTTTTTCCTACTTGAAAGTCGGTTCATTTTTAGGGTCGTTACCTTGCGTCTTGATATATTTTTTTTCTTTATACCATGCTTGTTTCATTTTTGTAAAATTGTTTGAGATTGATTCCTTTGTGTTTATTAACATGTCAAGGCTTTGCCTTCTTTTTGTTACCACCATGAACTTACATTGTTTCCCTCCTAAAACCTCGGTCCCGTACCGAATTCATTTTCATAAACATCTTCAATCATAAAAATCATTTCCTCTTTGTATTGAATTATATTAAGAAAGGATTAAGTGTAGACTTTTCCCCCTCCGAATATTAAGATACTCACTGTAGTGTGAGTGGTCTTGATATTCATCTTTCAATACGAAGACGCAACTTTATCCATCACCTATCTCTTTCAGTACCTCTCACTTTCATAACTTCCTTCCGAAACCTTTATGACCTAAAACCTCGGTCCCGCACCGAGTGCATTTTCAAACTCATTTTCGTAACAAAACTTGAATGGTCGTTGAGTGGTTAGGCGTAGGCCTTCTACTATCCCGAGTGCTGACATTTATCGTAGGGTTTACAGTCGCAAAGCACTTACCATTCAAAACCAAAAACACTTTAATAAAAGAATGAATTTCTCTTTGTGTTGAATTGAAGAGAGAGGATTAAGTGTAGTCTTTTTCCTCTCCGAGTGTCAGGATACTCACTGTAGCGTGTGTGGTCTTGATACTCGTCTTTCAATACAGAGACGCTATGTTCGCCACACTTTTTTATAACAAAAACTTTGAGGTAAAGAATTGGGTACTACCCGTAGGGGTTACTATCTAAGGACTTATCTCACCCCTAAAAACAATTCAACCAATCAAACATGACATCTTGCCTCGCATGGCAAAAATTAATCAATCTTTCAAAAAGGATATGTTACGTCCGTTCTACCGCAAATAGGTAATGCATAAGTCTCCTCACATGCGAGCAGCAAAACACCTAAACTTCTAGAATGTGCGCGATAGCATCATCCATAAAAACATCAACAAACCGTAGGCCGAACTACGACTGTTCTGATTCTTTACTTCTTTTAAGTAAAGATACGTAGGCACAAGGGCCACAATCCTTGCCGAGCACATTCCCCCTATATCTGTAGCTCCCCGAACTACGTCGACTCTGACTTTCTCACATCTATTGAGAATACGTAGGCATGGGACCGTGAAGTCCTACCGAGTTTGTTCCTTCTCTTTTCTTCCCCGTTATGCCTCCTTCCTTAGTTTCTAAACCTTCTTTCTTTACCCTTTAGAAAACACTTTTATAGCATAATATTTAAGCAGATATAATCACACATTGACAAGTAAATGGTTCCCATCGAGTACGATGAATACGATGGGTGCTAATACCTTCCCCTCGCATAATTGGCTTCCGAACCCATTCTTGGTTGCGAGACCATCTTATCCTTCCATTTCTTTAGGTTTTCTCGATATTTTCCTTTTCCCTCATGGGATAAATAAAGTTCGGTGGCGACTCTTCTGTCCTTTCCTTTTTGCCTCCCCGTTGTTGCGCGATGCATTTTTCGAGCAGCGACAGGCGAGAGCAAAGAATCCTCCCATCTGACTTCTCAACACGATGAGTCTTGAAAGAAAAAAGGAATGTTTCCTTTTCCCTTGTAACTGCTTATGTAGTCATTCCGTTTTTGTTATTCATTTATGTAGTTTCTTTTCTTTTGTTATTTGTGCACTTAGTTGACATTTTTTCATAGGCGAGTATTACAACTCTTCTAGTTATAAGGACAAGATGCTAGTTGAGGTGCACTATTTTCCCTCTGCTCCTTCAAAGGATATAGGGTTTTTAATGAGGCATAACATCCTTACTTATTTATATCTATTTGATATGTCATATCTTTGTAGAAAATCCAGGCTCATGAGAAAGCCTCTCAATAGAGGAAATTATATGCTGGATCTTCAAGGTGGATCCTTGTGACACATATA